GCCCGAACCCCACTCCGAGCCCGCCCGCAATGCTGCCGCGCGTCCCGGCCACGCACCCCAGCCCGCGAGGAGGGGCGAGGACAAGGCGGCTGGAAAGGACACGGCCCGGCGAGGGCCCGAGGCTCGGACCGGATCCCACCCCGGGTGACCGAGTCCCCAGCCCCGAGTCGCCAGAGCGCTGCGCCGGGCAAAGCCGAGGGCGTTGGCTGGGGGATCTTCAGGGTGCAGGGGCCCCCTGGCTAGTCCGCTCTCTGCCACCCGGTTTGGAGCGGTCTGAAGAGGTCATCTCAGCTCCGTTTCCTCGACGGCCAATTGGGGGCCCCAGAGAGCAGCGCCGCCCCTCCACAGGCACTCCAGCGCTGGGAGGCTTTGGGACCCCAGCCCACTTTTGGCTGGCTGTGGGCTCTTGACCAAGATACGGACCTCTCAGCGCCTCAGAGTTGGGATGAGCCAGTACAGCCTCCTGGTGCCAGAATTAGATTCCACTGGAATAATGCACCGGGCTGCCAAATAACGAAAGTCCATCTCCATTACAGCCAAGTTTCCAAAAGATGGTAGGTTTGCACTCCAGCCTGGGTGACAGAGTGAGACTCCAACTCAAAAGAAAAAATAAGAAGGTAGAAAATAGCTCGCCAGTAAGTGGTGGAGCTGGTATAGAAAATCAAGTGGGTGCTTTGTGCACGAATGCTGTTTGCTTCCCAGTAAGAGGTGCGTGTTGTTCTTGATGCTGGGGCGTCTTTTATCCATCCATTCATGTATTTGACTAGTGTTTCTTGGGCATCTACCACAGCCTGGATGTTGTACTAGGCCCTGGGACGGAGACTAGAGCACACCAGTCAAGGCTAACCAAGCACACAAATAAATTCAATAATGACAAACTGTGCTAAATGCTTGGCAGAAAAGAATAAGGGTGCTATGTTGGGGGCAGCTGGAAGGGGCTGGAGCTGAGGACCACACTGGGGAACTGTGGGCAGAGAGGGGCACTGACCTTGAGGCGTGCCCCTGAGGATGAGAAGACATCAGGAAAAGTTCCAAGCACGTGGGATAGCACGCGCAAAGCTCCAGCAGTGGGAGCATATTCAGAGGAAAGAGAAGACCAATGTGACCGGACATAAACGAACTCTGGGTGGCAGGGGGGCTGCGGATGGGATGCAGTGGAGGCTGGAGGGTGGGGCGGGGCAGGAGAGGTGGAGTGAGGGTGAAGAGGTGAGGGCAGGCTCACGGGGTGATGGTGGTCTGCCGGACACTCTAGACTGGAGGTGCCAGGGGGCCATGGGATCACAAGTTGGGAGTCCAGGGCAAGGTCCTCACGGCTTGGGAGTCACATTTCTTTCTTTCTTTTTTTTTCCTGAGTTGGAGTCTCGCTCTGTCACCCAGGCTTGAGTTCAGTGGCATGCTCACGACCACTGCAGTCTCAACCTGCTGGGCTCAGGCAATCCTTCCACCTCAGCCTTCCAAGTAGCTGGAACTACAGGCACATGCCACCACACCTGGCTAATTT